GCCCTCTCAGACCGAGAGAGCAAGGGCTGGCTCTCATTGGTTAAATCGGAGGCCACGTCATCCTCACCGCCTAGTTTACCAGATCTGATCGGTACTACATACTACATTTTTTTGTAGTAATGGTAGTATGTAGTAGCCGTTTTTGAAAATCGAGGTAGTAGAGGTAGTATGTAGTAGAGGTATTATTGAGCGCTGTGTTCTGGTGGTAGTAATGGTAGTATGTAGTAGCAACCTGTTACTACATTTCCAACTCTGATCACATCCACGTTTCACCTCGAAAATAAAAGTCCAGCGTAAAGGGTGTAAGACGGCTTGGTTCTGCGGCCGAAGCTGGAGACGGTATGCGCTACGCGCCTGTCTTGAAGGATTTTCCAAAATATTTCAAATCAGAGCTATAAAATGAACCTTTTCGATCGATTTCTTTCCCGCCTTTATCAAAACAGATGAGACTCTAGAACGGAACTGTTTTCAAAAAGCCTGAAAAAAACCCACGTTCGCCAGTAAGAGCGAACGTGGGTATCGAATACCCATGTTCGGAAAAAAGAGTGAGCGAGGGTTTAAATACCAACGTCAGAGTTGAACAGTGAACGTGGGTATAATACCCACATGACCGCATACCACCTCCTCATCACTTGCATCAACGTCGCCCGAAACAGCTGGAGCTTGAAAAAGACGCGGAATCGCGCCGCTCGAAGCTATTCGACTTGGAATCAACTTCAGCGCACTCCATAGGTAGAAAAGCTTCTTCTTCTGCCGCCGTTGATCTTCGGCAGCTCAACGATTGCTCAAGAACCCGACCAGTTATTTCCACAAGTCCGCTGGGTTTCAAACGCGAGGAAATCCATTTGAATCGCTGATCGCCCCCATTTCCGCCGACTACGCTGCTGCTCATGATTCACTGCGCATCTGCACTTCATGACTCACGTAATTCTGCACCCCGATGAACTCATCGATACTGCCGACTTTGAATACACTTGTCGACTTCAATCGGACCTTCTCGACTTCATCGTCTCCCGCGAATTCTCCTTCTCCTTTCCCGCCGAGATTGGCGCGAGAGTGAATCGGCTGATTCTTCGCACCATCAATGCAAGCGATCATGAATCTGTAAGTGAGGCTTGTCTCAAGTTGAGACTCTCAACCACGATGAACGTCTAAAAATCTACAACTGCTGAGAAACAGATTAAATTTTTGCTGTTGCCGCGAAGATGTCTTTGGCCAGTAGCATTTTGGAGAAATGACTGCTTCTTGATGCTCAAACAGACACCACACTCCAAGTTTTGGTCGCGATTCACACGCACTTTCCGTTGAACTCGCCAGATCTAGAATCTCTTCAAAAGTCGCATAACAGACACGCCGTCGACCCTACTTCAACACAGGAATCCGAGCGAAAGCCAGCTGATGCAAGTGCTGACTCGTCTTATTCATCTAAAGATAGCTACAGCGAACTGCTCGACCATGCTGCTTCTGATGTTCTTTTAAGCTACGCCTCAGCGCCTCTGGCTCAAAAGAGCTTCAGTTCACCAAAATTTTTGTACGCACACTGGTCCAAAAATAGCGAGAATTCAATTGCTACGATAATCAGAATTTCACTGTACTTATCTCGATGCGGAACCGCCCGTCTGCTTCATCTAGAACCTTCTTACAAATTCATGCCTTGCCGAAAATTGCCAACTGGAACAATGCTCAAACCAAGTTGCTAACGCGCCACTCATCGTTCCAAAACATGAGTGCCCAACCAAGGTTAATCTTCTTGTTGGGCCAATTGACTGCATATTTGATTCTCGCTTGGTTCGATCTTCTCAACGCCAATCGCAAATTGAGATGCTTGGCTCAACCCTGCTTTCATCTCTTCTCCTGTTGGACATCTTCCGCTGAATCATCTCTACACTTCTTTCTTGAATTCAAGAGTCTTCAATCGTCAGAAGACTTCGAAGACTGAGGAGCTGTTAGGTCAGAAAGAAGCCGTTGAATCTGATTGAGATCTAAAGTCGCCCGCCGCTTTTCCACTGCGTTCAGTCTGTGCAACTCATACTAAATCAAGTGTAAAGTCAGTGTTCACCTAACTGGAATACAAAACCTAAACTACCCTTTTCCGTGTTATCAAGAGGCTACAGTAGGACTAGAGAGTAGAACAGGACCACAACAGGGTGGAGGCATTCTTGACCTATCAAATAATCTTTTTAGTGTTCATCTGATTTTCGACCGTTTTCAGATAACAACGACGGGGAAGATCTTTCGATCTCTGTCTTTAAGGCGAATCTCAATATGGTGAGTTCCAATCGACGATCCAAAGTGGAAAACGAAGCGGCCTCTTTAAAACGAAACATTATAGGCGCCTTGGCGACACAATTTTATGCCAAACAAAAGACTTGGCTTTTGTCGCGATCCAAACTTTGATCTTTAAAGAATATATAAATGAAATGCGTACAAATCTTTTCGTCGATTCGGAACGTAAATCGGGGCATCGCCATTTTCTTTCATTTTCAACAAGTTTCCAAAGGCATCGATCAAGTAATGCTCACCGTTGAGAAAAGTAGTACCGGTCGACTTTTTTGGTTTGAAGGATTTTTACCGGGAGACTTTTGAATGCTAACACAATTTAGCTTTGATGACATTCTTTTAGATTGATCAAAACCGTTCATAAGAAAACAAAAAATCTGAGGCATTTGTCGTTTTTGATTGATTTCTTTCATAAAAATCGGCCAATAAAATCGCAAATTTTTGTTCTTCAGGTTCACTTTCTGTTCCATTTGATTGGGTAGTTGAGTTGATCCAAGACATCGTTGACGGAGTTGAAGTTGTTATTGGAGATGTTAATGTTGTTCTTGGTGGAGTTGACCAAGTGGATAATGACTGCGGTGAAGACGACATTGTTGACCAAGTCGTCGAAGTTGACTCAGTTGATGTCAACTGGGTTGTAGATGATATGTTAAAGATAGGCTCTGACAAGTTTAAACTATTTTCAGATTTTCGGAGATCAAAAACTGGAACAAATTTTTGAGGCGACTCCAACTTCTCGCATTCGTAATGAGGACACGGACAACCTTTGGAACAGTACTTCTGAAATGGGCAAACTTCTCCGGCGGAATCGAAACTTCTAGTCAGCCCAAAGCAGATTGACTCGCAGGGCGTGATTGGGTTGGTCCTCGTTGATTTCAAAACCAGCGTGTTCGAGCAGAGATGGCGGCAGACTTTCTGGTCGTAAAAGCGTTTCTTCTGGCAGCGGCGGAGATTCACTTCGTTTTCTGCCTGTGAAAAAACAAGCGGCGCCGCTTTGACAGGCTCGACCTTCGAAACCGGCTCAGGAAGGATAAACTCCTTGGTGTCACGGCATTGCTTCATTAGATGGCCGCAAAAGTCCATTGTCGAGATTTTAACGCATTTCTTGTAGTTTCGGTGACAGCTCGACGTCAGAAAAGTCGTAACGCCGCGGGATTTTTCCAAAGAGGCGAAGTTTGCTTGCGAAATTAGATATTTAATTATTAATTTAATTACTCGAGAGGGTACCTATGAGCATAACAGTGACCCAGAAAATGGTGCCAAGAGTCAAATAGCTGAACTGCTGTGGATCGGTGGCGTTCCCGTGTTTCGCCAAGCTCACTTTCGCAGTGACCTTTTTTTTCCATGTTTTCTCCTTCTTCTTGATATCATATTCTTGAGTGCGAATGCTTCGGATTGTCAGAATTTCTTCCGGAAAAAGATAAACCGTCTTGCCCTTTTTTCTCAGGGTCCCGATGCAGTCACAGTCGAGGCACTATTTTTGAAATTTATTTTTAGTAAGATGATTGAGCTGGCTGTAATGCCCATTAAACTTTTTAGCTGAACAGTATCATCCCTATCAGATGATCACAAATAAAGATAAAAATTACCGTGATTTTTGTTTTGAAAATCGCATTTTCAATTCCTTCATTTTCTTCTTCAAAAACCATGGCGAGTGATCTCTGAGAGAGAAAAAACTACGGTATTATGGAAAAAAGTGCGAAAAGACTTCGAATGTTGCTTGTCTGACAGCTGGAAAGTTTACTCTCCGTTCGTGCTCTTTTTCTTAATGTCAGAGCTTTTTCTTTGCCTTGGAATAAGTTGAGCTTTTATTTTCACAATTTTTATTTTTCATAATGTACAGTTCATATGCTGTTCCTTTTTTTAAGCGGCGTTCTCCCAGAAGTTAACTGTACAATTAATTTGTTTGCTAGTTTCTCGCGTTTCTTCTGCTCAAAATTAACTTCGGCTCTCCTTCATCTGAAAAAATGATTTTTCTCTTCGTTGTTTTCACCGAAAGGTAAAACCTGCTTTATGCAGAATTCCGTCAGAAAGAATCATTCATCGCGCTCGAGAAATCGGCCGGATCCACAAGGCCATTGTATCAAGTGGAAAGACGACACTTTTTTTATTCTAATTTATTTTCTTTGCTGGCCGCATTTAATTTTTGATAAGCTGCGGCTCGAGTTAGCTGAAATCGTGGTTGAACAAAATAACCGCTTATTCCGGCTTATTCTATTAACTTCTAACTTCTATTAAAAATGATGAATTTCTTCGAAACCCAGATGAGCCGTAAAATCGTCGCTGGATTATTCAAAAAGAGCTGACTTTACCTTCATCTACATGGTATATTCATTGCCACTTTGTTGATGCGTATGATTTTGCAAAGTTTCCAAAAAGTTCATTTTGATTTTATTTTTTTACTTTGATTCTTATTTTCAACTATTAATTATCTTTATTTTTTGCTTTTCTGAGAAGAGTTTTCTCCAAGTTTTATCCCTTTTTCAAGGAAATCAAGGAAGACACTATTGAAAAATTCTCCAACTAGCAAAAGATGCGATTATTTCTCTGCAAAAAATCCAAGATCTCCCAAAATATTGAGGTGGCACTCGAATGGGGCCGTTTCGCTAAATTGCTCATTCTGTAAATATGATATTCACTGTAATTGCAAATTGAGAATATCATAGCCGAGTCACCGTAAACTCCGGTTAGCAGAAAAAGATACTCGAAAAAATCGTGAAATGAAGGAAAAATTAAGTTTAAAAAAGCAAGAGAGTTCAGAGGATCCTTCATCTGTTCCGTTGAATGTCGTCGTCAACGTTAATCAGCAAATCAACAACGAAACAAAAAAGGAGGACAAAAAGGATAAAAAGGATAAAAAATCGTGCATGAATAAAGTAAAAGGTCTTTCGCTGGTTTTGAAGATCGCAGTGGCTCTTTTGACAATCCATGGAATCGTTACGCCTTTAATTCTTTCGAAAATGAGTCCTCATTCGGATTCGCAGGACAATTCCACAAATGCTGCAGCTTCAGGTACTGTTGCTAGAAATCAGAAAAGATGAATACAATTTGCTGGCCAGATAACTGCTTGTGCAGTTAAAGAACCCCCTCCCCATCAAGATGAAAAAAGTCATAATTATCAAAATTTTTTTGCCTTTTTGGGTAGTTAAGACCACGAGGAAGAACTTTTATTCAGAATTTTTTTTTTGCTCCTATAGAAAATTTTGGCAGGATTTGGCTTCAAAAATTGGAAATTAACATTGTACATTTCATAAAAATCTTTATTACGCTATTTAAATGATAATTAAGGGTATACCAACCATAAAAACTATTACTATCATAAACACGAGTATAAAACGTAATTCAGCGCAATTTAGGTAATAATTACTGAAAATATATATCCGAAAATTCGACTTAGATTCGACTTTAAAATTTTAAAGGGGCTGTCCTCCTTAAGTTCGTAGACCAAAAACTCTCAAAAAGCAAACGGTCGTAGCTTAGGGCCTTAACTTTATCCTGAAAAAAAATTAAGGGTATACCGTATACGGTATACCCCACTTTAAAACCCGAAAAAAACCTGCACTTAACAACCTTATATTTAAGGGCCTGTATAACCTTAAGTTGTTGATCGTAAGATCATCTTAAGGAACGCGGTTGCAGGCGAGGGTTCAAACAAGAGCTTGCAATTGAAATAAAGGGTCTACCCAAGGTAGTTCTTGAGAAAAACGTTCACTAAAGAGCCCGATTTTCACGATTCTTGATGGGGGCAGGGGGTTTAAACAGCATTTTGAATGTTTCGTTGATATTCTCCGGCTTCAACAAGAAAACGAAGAGCTTAGAAAGAATAATTTATTGATGGAAGAAAAACTTGAAGAAGCACAAAAAGAAAAAGAAAAACTCCAAAAACAATTATCATATAGACTAACAGAGATCGACGAAGTCAAAGCAGAAAGCGAAAAGTGCTACGGACGGGAGAAGAATTCCTTGATGGTTCTTACTGGTTATGGATCAAAAACTGAGTATCTAAGCTACGTGCTCAAACCTGACGGAAGCGAGAGTCCTCGCACAATCAAGATGCCTTCTTCAATTGATAGCTCTCAGTTCCTTTACGCTTCGATTTCCGCTATGATCCGCGGAAAAGTCTTCATTTTTGGTAAACTAAGCGGCTCAGACTATGGACTCAGGGTAAGAAGTGCGGAAAATAACTAAAATCATAGCTAATTCACTTAGATAAGAATGATAAGTGGCTGTGAAATCAAGGAGTTAGATGTCAAACTCAACAATCGATATTACTTCGGCTCTTCTGTAGTAACGGCGGCTGATCAACAATCTGGTAAGAAATTGTTACAATTGAAAGCGCTGCAGTTGTTCATTTATTCTAGCGATGATTTGCTTTCCGGATGATGAAAAGTTCAAAAAATGCGAAGAATTCGACGGAAGCGCTGTTTCAATAAAACCTTCGACCAAATACTCGCACAGAAGTTCATGCTTGGCGCTCTACAACGACCAACCAGTTGCAGTCAGCTCCGGACTTCCTGAGGGCCGCAAAAAAGTGGAGAAATTCGATGGCGTTTCTTGGACGGAAATGGAAGATTTTCCAAAGTAAATCGATTTTAATTTTTATTATATGATGATTTTAGGCCAATTTACATACACTCCTGCATTGGAGTTTTCGACGGATATCTTCTCCTGGGAGGTAATTACGAAGAAAATGACAAATATTACAATTCAAAAGATGTTTATCTACTTCGTGACTCAAGATGGACCGTGGTTGGCCAGCTCAATAAATATGTTAGGTCTTTATTAAACAAGGCGAAATTAGCTTTAATTTTAGCATTGGTACTCTTCTGCAACGCGAATCAGAAACACGATTTATCTTGTGAGCGGCAAAAAAGAACCGTAAGTTTTTTGAAAGAATCAATCAAAATAATTGAACTTAGTTACGCCGTGGAGAAACTTGAATGGGATGGAGAAGAAATATCCTCGGCAAAAGTCATCAACAACCACTCAAATCCATTTTGGAGGCCGATAATATTCCCTGTCGATGAATTTTACTGTACATAAGTTTTTACAGAAATAAATCAAATTAAGTAAAGAACAAATTTCAAGATATTATCGGAAGTTTCTAATCTTGACTTTTCGTTCTGAAAGTGAAATCAAGGAAGAGAATTTTCCATCATTCTTAACGTAGCGAAAGATCCTAAAATTTTCTGTTAAAATCATGTGAACTCTGATTTCGTGACCCCGCCCGTTTCGTAAATCGCTTTTCCCGCTTATGCTTTAATTTCTCCAAGCCGCGAAGAGCACTTGAATCCGCCCAGCCCGTTCCACAAAAGTTCACTTTCAAACTTGTTTCTTGAAATTTTCGATTACGGGAAGTATATTTTAACTAGTTGCATCAGGGGTCTGGATTCGCTTTGCGAATTCGCTCATGAGCGAAGCGAAGCGAATTCACTTCGCTTCGCTCACGAAATTTTGATTCGCTTCGCTTCGCTTTCGCTTAAAATTTTTGAAAAATTTTCGCTTTCGCTTCGCTTTCGCTTTTCATTTTTGGCCAAAATCCAGACCCCTGGTTGCATAATTATTTTTTAACGAAAAGTACTCTCGCTGAGGCTAGAATTCCCCCCTCGCGTCTAAAAATTGATAAGCATTGCCAGTCGAGTGTTAATTAAGCCATAATCAATTACGGTGTGGCTTTTCGTATTGAGTAGATTCCATTTTTTTCTCTCAAGACGGCGATTTCTAAAAATGCCGTAACTCGCATTTCTCTTCCGTAAATATTTTAGCGCTAGAATTTCTGAGCTTCTGTCACAATCGCTCTAAGCTAAACCAACTTACAACAGTGCGCAATTTCGAAGCTAACTCCTGTGGCGACATCAAGATTTAACCTGTCGACAAAGCAAAAGCAGATTTGTGGCTTGAAGAGAGTCTTTTTTGAATGTATAAAGTAATGATGGTATAAAGAAATTTACGTGAACTCTTGATTCTTGACCCCGCCTGTTTAGACTCCAATTAAATTTACTCAGAAGGTGACTCACTCTTCTTATAGAGTCAGCAGCGAGAGCCAGAGTATTAACAAAAGAGAAATGATCTACTTTCTTTTACTGTTTACGAAGCTGATTTCAGCTGCAAATGCACGGGTTTTTTCTTTCTTCTTTTTGATATAAGATTGCTCATTTTTATTCGTAAACCCGAAAAAAGATATGCAGCCTTGAATTTTCATGCCCAGCTTTTTGCAAAAGCAGCAAAGGCCCGGCAAAAGTTGCCAGAAACAGGGCGGCGAAATGCAAAAAAGCGGCCGAGGAAGAACTCAAGCGCTGCCTAAAAGAATGCATCTTCGTTGATTGCGTCGACGAATGCCAGAATCAATTTCGGCGTGAGCTGGAAATGTGTCCCTGCTGGCAAAACGACGAATCCCGAAGTCGCTGTACAGAGAGAACGGTCCTTGATCTCGAGCAATATCGGAAAGGTTCAGAAAAATGGTTTTGTTTTAACTTATGGCTAAATATTGGTTTTCTTAACTTAAAAAAAGTATCATGGTCGACGATCTAAAAGAGCATACGAACGGTCTTGAACGCGAAAATCAGAAGTTGAAAGACGAAATTGAAATTCTCAATCAAAAGTCCCAGAATCTCAAAACTGAGAATGAAAGACTTTCTAGCGAGGAAAAACGGTACTTCGATTTATCCGAATTTCTGATGTACATTTCTGATTTAGACTGAATACGAGAAATTACAATTTGTGGAAAAAGCTTCGAGAAAAAGGTAATTTTTGGAGAAAATCTTTCATCGAGTGTTATAAAATCTAGATTCGGAAATAAAGAGGCTTCAAACTGAGAAGGAAGATTTGATCGCTGCCAATGAAGAACTAAGAACATCGAAAACAGCTACAGAGGAAGTGCAGACTGCCTTGGCTGAAATCAAGGAAGATTTAGATGAAACAAAAATGGAGAAAAGCGAGATTCAAGAAGATTTGGACATTGAAAGAATCAGGTAACAGAAAACCCTTGTTTGCTTTTTTTATGAACTGCGACACTTAGAAATTCTGATCTTCAAAGCGAAATCGAATATTGCAGAAACGAAATTCAAGAAGAAAAGGCGCAATGCTTTAAAAATACTCAGGTATTTTTATTTAAGCTTATTTTTTATTAAAATGACAAGGCTTTGACGATTGATCTTGAGCGGACTGAAGACGAGAAAGAAGCAATCGAAACACGAATAGCATTTTATGAAAGAGATCTTGAGAAACTCAAGTTCGAAAACGAAAACTGCTTTGGACGGGAGAAGAATTCATTGATGGTTCTTTCTGGCTACGAGTCTCAAACAGAGTTTCTCAGCTACGTTCTTAAACCTGACGGAAGCGAGAATCCTCGGACAATCAAGATCCCTTCGTCGAATAATCAATTCCATTACCTTTACGCTGCAATCTCTGCTTTGATCCGAGGAAAAGTCTATATTTTTGGTGAAGGATGGGGCTATGGACTCAGGGTAAGAAAGCAAAAAATGATAGCTTATTCACTTAGATAAGAATGATAAGTGGCTGTGAAATCAAGGAGTTAGATGTCAAACTCAACAATCAATATACTTGGGGCTCTTCTGTAGTAACGGCGGCTGATCAGCAATCTGGTAAAATTGTTTCAATTAAATGTGCTGCAGTTGATAATTTATTCTAGCGATGATTTGCTTTCCGGATGATGATGAGTGGAAAAACTGCGAAGAATTCGATGGAAGTGCTGTTTCAATAAAACAGTCGACGAAGTTCTCGCACAGAAGTTCATGCTTGGCGCTTTACAAGGACCAACCAGTTGCAGTCAGCTCCGGACTTCCTGACGGCTACAAAAAAGTGGAGAAATTCGGTGGCGTTTCTTGGACGGAAATGGAAGATTTTCCAAAGTAAATCGATTTTAATTTTGATTATTTGATTATTTGAAGGGCAATTTATATTCACTCCTGCATTGGAGTTTTCGACGGATATCTTCTCCTGGGAGGGGAATACAAACAAAATCATAAATATTACAGTTCAAAAGATGTTTATCTACTTCGTGACTCAAGATGGACTGTGGTTGGCAAACTAAATAAATATGTGAAGTCTTTCTTGAACAAGGCGAAATAAGCTTGAATTTTAGCATTTTTACTCTTCTGCAACGCGAATTGGAAATACGATTTATCTTGTGAGCGGCAAAAAAGAACCGTAAGTTATTTTTAAAATAATAAAGAATCTTTAATAAAGAATCAATCAAAATAACTGAACTAAGTTACGCCGTGGAAAAACTAGAATGGGATGAAGAAAAAATATCCTCGGCAAAAGTCGTCAACAACCACTCAAACGAATTTTATCGCCCGATAATATTCCCTGTCGATGAATTTTACTGTACATAAGTTTAAGAGAAATAAATCAAAGTTAGTCAAGCACAAATCCAAAGAAATTATCCGAAGTTATTTTTTATTCTGAAAATGAAATCAAGGAAGAGAATCTTCCAAATAATCTCAACGTAGCGAAAGATATTCGTAGCGTCAAAATATTCTCTGAAAATTACGTGAACTCCGATTTCGTGACCCCGCCCGTTTCGTAAATCGCTTTTTCCGCTAATGCCTTAATTTCTCCAAGCCGCGGTAACTCATCAAAGAGCACTTGAGTCGGCCCAGCCCGTTCCGCAAAATGCGCCGCTCAGTTCACTTTCGAATTCATTTCTTCGAATTCAAGGTCACGTGAAGCAAAATTACATTCGTTGCATAATTATTTTTTAACGAAAAGTACTCTCGCTGAGGCTAGAATTTCCCCTCGCGTCTAAAAATTGATAAGCCTTGCCATTCGAGGGTTAATTAAGCCATAATCAATTACGGTGTGGCTTTTCGTATTGAGTAGACTCCACTTTATTCCATTTTTTCTCTCTCGAGACGGCGATTTCTAAAAATCCCGTAACTCGCATTTCTCTTCCGTAAATATTTTAGCGCTGGAATTTCTGAGCTTCTGTCACAATCGCTCTAAGCTAAACCAACTTACAACAGTGCGCAATTTCGAAGCTAACTCGTGTCGCGACATCAAGATTTAACCTGTCGACAAAGCAAAAGCAGATTTGTGGCTTGAAGACAATCTTTTTTGAATGTATAAAGAAATGATGGTACTTCTGTACTTTTGATGAGTCAAAATGAAGATACAAAATGTTTTACAGACATGAACGGACATTTTCCAATGATTTTGACATTCAACGACATTTCGGAGGCTCGACAGACATCTAGAGATTAAGAAAATAATCCTAGACATTGAAGATGTTTCTCTAAGTTTAGAGACATTCAGGGACATCCAGGGACATTGGAAGAAATGACTGAAGCTAGGGAGTCTTTTGACAGCATCAGGGGACATTCGAAGACATTTTTTGAGCTCAATTGACATCTAGAGACATTTGGGAAAAATCAAATGTATCGTTGATGTTTTCTGCTCAGTTGAACGACATTTAAAGCCATTTCAAATGTCACATTTGAAGATCTATCAGAAATCCAACGGTCATTTAGGGACATTTGTCCTTATTTATTGACATTTAGAGTTATAACTGTATCTATCCATGTGAATGACATTTAGGGACCTTTATAACGGCCAAGAGAATCATAAATAACGGATATTGAATGGACATTTTGAGATATACATATGTATTAGGACATTTCCAGACATCTAGCAACATAAGCGCCGCAAAAACAGTAAATGAAGGAGGAAGAAGATGTAATTTTCGAATATTTTGGGTTGAGCTGCGCAAAAACGGACGTGGTCGGCGGGTCATCAACGGGCGGCGAAAAAAGTCAAATAAATTCATTTAGCCGGATTAACCCGCAAAGGGGGAAATGATTTGATGATGCACGTTCTCCTGTTTTCCGCAAAAACGTGCGAAAAAATAAATTTTAGATTTAATTAGCTAGACATTTAGACATTTGAATTTCCAAAAATTCAAAAAGAAGAAAGACTTTTCGATGTTTTTTTCGAAAAATAAAATTGCAAATTATTATTTTGATAATTTTTCTTTTGAAATTAAAATATTGACGCTTCCAGCTCAAAATTGAAAATTCTGAATCAATGAAACAACTCCGGATAGCCCCGATCAATCAATATTTACATTCGTGAGAGCTTGTCTAAAAACCTTCCCGCAAGAGCAAAAAGCCTGGCATTTCCGCTCTAAACTCCAACTCAACCGACCTGGAACTCCAAATTTGCAAAATGCAAAAATTCATTTTAAATTATTTTATTCATTTTTCAGGGGAGATTTTTCGCGGTGAACCGACTTTGTGGTCTAACGGATTATCAAGATATTTGAATCTGAAATGCTCTGTTGCCAAAAAATTGGTCGAGAAAAAGAACGAAGTTACTAAGAAAAAGTTTTGTTTATGAAAATCAGTTCAACACTAAAGTTAATAGCTGGATAGATTATTATGACGCGGCTAAGCTCTTTCGATCCGCGATTTAGAAAGCCGCTACTTTTCTTGAGTTTTTCTTGCTCCATCCTTGAACCCGTTCGCGCTCGCTTTAGAACAGTCTTTGGAGGTCTTTGATTTATCTGATGTTCAATCACCACATCGAGCTTTTGACAACAAGCAGGGAAAAGAAGAAACCTCGGCGATGGATATTTTTTGGCGTGACAAGTTTTGAAGACATTGGAAAATTTCGAGTTTGTAAGGTCAAATGAAGTTAGCGAAGGTTATCTGTCTTTCGACACGAAAGTTTCGAGATTTGGCTGGAAGGTTCTATGAAATTCAGGTTTCGAGATTCGCGAATGAATCATAAAAGGGAAAACTGGAGCATTTAAAGAATTGATTTTCGCGGGTTGACTCTCATTTCTTCTTTCGTTTTCGTTGAGAAATTGTGTAGAGATATCTTCAAGCCTGTGTGTTCTGCCTGAATTGACAGTTTAGTGAGATTCTAGTTAAAAAATTTTAGACGATTTTCAAATGGAACACTTTTTCCAAGGATGCAGCGAGTACCTGGCTTCCGCGTCTACCAGACTTGATCCTGGACGCGCTGCTCAATTCGGACTCTCTTCGAATTTCGGAGCCCTCAACATTTCTGACTCAGACTCTGAGGCTTCTGAGGCTGAAGAGATCGAAAAGAAGGAGACCGAATCTGCTCCCAAGAATGCCCATCCTAAGTTGGAGAAGATGAGGAAGGAGTTGGGCGCTATCGGAGGCGCTGGACACTTCTTTGAGGACGATCGGGAGGTCTGGAAAGGTGGAGTAAGAGATGGGGTGAACGCGATGAAAATCCGCAAGGTGCTGAAGCTGTTTTCGCTTGGCGAACGAAAGGTCAACCTCAAGGAATGGGAGTTTAGGCACAGTATTTTTGATATTGAAATCAGTAAAAACTCCGACAGTTCAAGTGCAATGTTGACTTCGAAGTTGATCATGCCGGATGGAAGCTTCAGTTCAAAAATGCTATTCCACAGGAAGGAGGCGATGGGAACTATTATCTTTGGCTTTCCAACAAAGGTAAAATCAAAATTTATTTATTTCAGTTTGACTAATTTTACTTTAGACGGAGGCGTTCCCTTCAAGGCCGTGGTGGAGCAGCTCAACAGCAACTTCGGAAAAGTGCACCATCGACACGAACTCGTCAGCGAAAAGGATGAAAAGGACCAAAGTTAAACATTTTTGACGAGCTCAATTTAGCTGAAAAATATATTTTTAACTCTGTAAAGGGCCAGCTCGTCAAGCACGAAGATGGACCCTCGGGCGCCTTCATCCGATACAACATCACTCTTCTCGAGCCCTCCGAGCTCGAAGAAATGAGAAAGGAGTTCAAATCGGTGGGCACGATTGGAGAAGCCGGGGAGCAGCTGCGAAAGAACTTGGTTGGATACGAAGCCGCCCGCCACCAGAACTTCACCAATGTGCTCAAGCAGCTCGGCCTTGGAAAGCGCAACTTCGATCTCGAGGTAAGACGTTGAATATTTCCGGAAATTAAATTGAAATAAAGTTCCGGGTGGGCGTTCTCGACGATGGAGAAAACTGCGAGATCACCGAGGGCGATTGGAAGCTTCGCTTCTCGCTTGGTGGACTTTTGCCGCCGATTGTGAGGGCGCACAATGTCCGAATCTCCCACGAGCAGACCTTCTGGCTCTCTTTTGGGCTCTCTAAGAGAGGTAAAACGAATATTTTCAATTTCAAATTCAAAAATATTATCTAGGCGAAGGAGTTCCGTTCAAAGCGCTGGCTGATGGCGTCTTTTTCTTCAGCAAGAAGGAGGGAAACTCGCATTGCGTGAAGATCCGAACGGTGCCCTTTGGATCGCTCCGAGTCATTGTTGAATTACGGTAAATAAACTTTACAGTTCGAACTTCGAGTTCCGAACTTGACTCGCAAAAAAAATTTGTCCAGAAAAGCAAAAATTTCCACGAAAGAGTTCTTTTAGAAGCCTTTTAAAAGCGCCAGAGCAACTGGGCATCGAGGAGTATCGGCAGTGCGCTCTCTCACAGCTTGAGTTGTTGGTTCTTACGAGATTGGGTTTATCAGTCCTGAATCTAAGCCGGATCTCGCTCGAGTCCTCGTGTAATCATCCGCCAGGCTGCTTGTTTGTGCTTTCTCGGCGAGTTTCATTTTCGACGCTTCTAAAGAAAACACGCGGCGCAATTCTAGACCGCATTCTAAACCACGTGCCCAAATTGCATAAAGAAGATTTTATTGCGAATAATTGTCCGGGCAACTACCACTCAGGAATTTTTCCTTGGCCGATTATTTTCCCTGTCGATGAGTTTTACTGTACGTAAGTTTTTTCGAAAATAAATCCAATCTGTAAAGCTCTTATCCCACGAAATTACCGAGAATTTCTAATCTATCTTTTTGAAATCAAGGAAGACATTTTTCTAAACAATCTGAACGTTCGGAAATATCCGATAAATTCCGATTTAATCCGTCTAGATAATCCATAAAATTTACGTGGTCGTTTTGACTCCAATTAAATTTACTCAGAAGGTGACTCACTGTTTTTATAGAGTCAGCAGCGAGAGCCAGAGTTTTTACAAGTTTTAAAGAGAAATGATCTATTTTCTTTTACTCTTTATGAAGCTGATTTCAGCTGCAAATGCACGGGTTTCTTCTTTCTTTTTTTTAAATAAGGTCGCTCATTTTTATTCGTAAAACCCCAAAAAAGATATGCAGCCTCGAATTTTCATGCCCAGCTTTTTGCAAAAGCAGCAAAGGCCCGGCAAAAGTTGCCAGAAACAGGGCCGCGAAATGCAAAAAAGCGGCCGAGGAAGAATTGAAGCGCTGCCTAGAAGAATGCATCTTCGTTGATTGCGTCGATGAATGCCAAAATCAATTTCAGCGTGAACTGGAAACATGTCCCTGCTGGCAAGACGACGAATCCCGAAGTCGCTGCACAGAGAAAACGGTCCTGGATCTCGAGCAATATCGGAAAAGTTCAGAAAAGTGGTTTTGTTCTAGCTTAATATTGGTTTCTTAACTTGAAAAAAGTATCATGGTCGACGAACTACAGGAGCATGCGAACGGCCTTGAACGCGAAAACCAGAAGTTGAAAGACGAAAATGAAATGCTCAATCAAAAGTCCCAGAATCTCAAAACTGAGAATGAAAGACTTTCTAGCGAGGAAAAACGGTTCGTTAATTTATTCGAATTTCTGCGGTATATTTCTGATTTAGACTGAATACGCGAAATTACAATTTGTGGAAAAAACTTCGAGAAAAAGGTTATTTTCGACAGAATCTGTCATCGAGTGTCATAAATCTAGATGGGGAAATAAGGAGGCTTCAAACTGACAATGCAAATTTGATCGCTGCTAATGAAGAACTAAGAACATCGAAAACAGCTACAGAGGATTTGCAGACTGCCTTGGCTGAAATCAAGGAAGATTTGGATGAAACAAAAATGGAAAAAAGCGAGATTCAAGAAGATTTAGACATTGAAAGAATCAGGTAACGAAAAACCTTTGTTTGCATTTTTTAATAAACTGGGATTCTTAGAAATTCTGATCTTCAAAGCGAAATCGAATATTGCAGAAATGAAATTCAGGAAGAAAAGGCGCAATGCTTAAAGACTACTCAGGTATTTTGATGGTTTTTTAATTGAAGCTTATTTTTGGGAAAATTTTAAGGGTTTGACAATTGATCTTGAGCGGACTGAAGATGAAAAAGAAGCAATCGAGACCCGAATGTCAATTTTTGAAAGAGATTTGGAAAAATTCAAGTTCGAAAACGAAAGCTGCTTTGGACGCCAGAAGAATTCATTGATGGTTCTTTCTGGCTATACGTCTCAAACAGAGTTTCTAAGCTACGTGCTCAAACCTGATGGAAGCGAGAGTCCTCGCACAATTAAGATCCCTTCGTCAAAAAATGAATATCATTACCTTCTCGCTTCAATTTCTGCTATGATTCGTGGAAAAATCTATATTTTTGGTGAAGGCTACGGCTATGAACTCAGGGTAAGAATGCAAAAAAAAAAACTAAATCATTGCTTATTCACTTAGATTAAAATGATACGTGGCTGTGAAATCAAGGAGTTAGATGTCAAACTCAACAATCAATATTACTGGGGCTCTTCTGTAGTTACGGCGGCTGATCAACAATCAGGTAAGAAATTGTTACAATTGAAAGGGCTGCAGTTGTTCATTTATTCTAGCGATGATTTGCTTTCCGGAAGATGAAGAACGAAAAAAATGCGACGAATTTGATGGAAGTGCTGTATCAATAAAACCGGCGACCAAATACTCGCACAAAAATTCTTGTTTGGCGCTCTACAGCGACCAACCAGTTGCAGTCAGCTCCTGGCTTTCTGACGGCTACAAAAAAGTTGAAAAATTCGATGGCGCTTCTTGGACGGAAATGGAAGATTTTCGAAAGTAAATCGATTTTAATTTATATAATATATATAATAAATAATAATAAATAATATAAATAATTTATTTGTTGATTTGAAGGGCGATTTACGCTCACTCCTGCATTGGAGTTTTCGACGGATATCTTCTCCTGGGAGGTCAATACGAAGAAAATGATAATTTTTACAATTCAAAAGATGTCTATTTACTTCGCGACTCAAAATGGACAGTCGTTGGCCAGCTCAATGAAATTGTAAGGTCATTATTAAACAAGGCGTAATAAGCTTGAATTTTAGCATTTTTACTCTTCTGCAACGCGAATTGGAAATACGATTTATCTTGTTGGGGGCAAAAAAGAACCGTAAGTTATTTGAAAGAATCAATCAAAATTACTGAACTTAGTTTCGCCGTGGAGAAACTAGAATGGGATGGAGAAAAAATTTCCTCGGCAAAAGTCATCAACAATCACTCAAATCCATTTTGGAGGCCGATACTTTTCCCTGTCGATGAATTTTACTGTACATAAGTTATAGAGAAATATCAAAGTTAGTCAAGCTAAAATCGCAAGAAATTATCAGAAGTTTACAAATCTGGTCTTTTTGTTCTGAAAATGAAATCAAGGAAGATAATCCTCAAAATAATCTCACCGTATCGAAAGATCTTAGGTTTAATTAGCCCAAATATTCTCTGAAAATCACGTGAACTCCGATTTCGTGACCCCGCCCGTTTCGTAAATCGCTTTTTCCGCTAATGCTTTAATTTCTCCAAGCCGCGGTAAACTCATCAAAGAGCACTTGAGTCGGCCCTCCCCGTTCTGCAAAATGCGCCGCTCAGATCACTTTCGAATTCATTTCTTCGAATTCAAGGTCACGTGACGTAAAATGACATTCGTTGCATAATTATTTTTTAACGAAAAGTACTCTCGCTGAGGCTAGAATTCCCCCGCGCGTCTAAAAATTGATAAGCCTTGCCAGTCGAGGGTTAATTAAGCCATAATCATTTTCGGTGTGGCTTTTCGTATTGAGTAGATTCCACTTTATTCCATTTTTTTCTCGAGTCGAGACGGCGATTTCTAAAAATCCCGTAACTCGCATTTCTCTTCCGTAAATATTTTAGCGCTGGAATTTCTGAGCTTCTGTCACAATCGCTCTAAGCTAAACCAACTTACAACAGTGCGCAATTTCGTGTCGCGACATCAAGATTTAACCTGTCGACAAAGCAAAAGCAGATTTGTGGCTTGAAGATAGTCTTTTTTGAATGTATAAAGTAATGATGGTACTTCTGTACTTTTGATGAGTCGAAATGAAGATGAAGGATGTTTAACAGACATAGACGGACATTTTCCGCTAATTCTGACATTTCAGAGGCTCAACAGACATTCAGGCACTAAGAAATTAATCCTTGACGTTGGAGATGTTTCTCAAGTTTAGAGACATTCAGGGACATCGAGGGACATTTGAAGAAATGACTGAAGCTAGGGAGTCTTTTGACAGAATCACTGATTTTGTGGTCTAACTGATTAATAATCAGTGATTATCAAGATATTCGACGGCGAAATGCTCTTTTACTAAAAAATTGGTCGAAATCGGCAAAGAAGTTACTAAGAAAAAGTTTTGTTTATGAAAATCAGTTCAACACTAGCTGGATAGATTATTATGACGCGGCTAAGCTCTTTCGATCCGCGATTTAGAAAGCCGCTACTTTTCTTGAGTTTTTCTTGCTCCATCCTTGAACCCGTTCGCGCTCGCTTTAGAATAGTCTTTGGAGGTCTTTGGTTTATCTGATGTTCAATCACCACATCGAGCTTTTGACAACAAGCAGGGGAAAAGAAGAAACCTCGGCGATGGTGATGACAAGTTTTGAAGACATTGGAAAACTTCAGAGTTAGTAAGTTCGAATCAAATTAGCGGAGGTTCTCAATAATCTGTCTTTCGACTCGAAAGTTTCAAGATTTGGCTGGAAGGTTTGGCTTTGAAGTCGCGTTTCGAGATACGGGAATGACTCAGAAAAGGGAAAACTGAGCGCTAAAGATTCGATTTTGCAGGTTGACTCTCATTTCTTCTTTTTTCTTCGTTGATAACTTCGGTAGAGATAAATTTATGAGGACCTGCGTTCAACATTGTGACTTAATTTTGGCTGAGAATAAATTGTCTGGTGATCAAATTTAAAAATTTAAGACGATGGCAAATTTTGTTTCTCGCGGCATCTATTACATGGATTCCAATGAAGAGCCAAAGGAAGTCGATTTGAAGGAATTGGCGAATCTCAACCTCTATGGCCCAAAGAATCCTGAGGGTGAAGAGACCGAGAAGGAAGCGACCGAATCTGCTCCCGAGAATGCCGACCCGAATAAAAGGTTGGAAAAGATGAGGAAGGAGTTGGGCGCTATCGGAGGCGCTGGACACTTCTTTGAAGACGACCGGGAGATCTGTAAAGGTGGAGTAAGAGATGAGATGAACGAGTCGAAAGTCCGCAAGGTTCTGAAGCTCCTTTCCTTCGGCGAGCGAAAAATCAATCTCAAGGAACGGGAGTTTTGCAGCAAAACTTTTGCATTAATAAGCGAAAAAAGATAATCTTTCAATTTATTTAATAAAACTCCGCAAAGTTCTCGTGCTCTCAGAACTTCGACGTCTCTGATGCCGGCTGGAGGCTTCAGTTTTTAAGAGATTTGAAGTTAACTGATTTGCTAAAAGGAGCTGGTGCGCACTATTACTTTTGGCTCTCAAATAAAGGTATTAAGCGCTGGATTTTCAGAGTGACAAATTAATTTGCAGATGGAGGAGTTCCCTTCAAGGCCGTGGTGGAGCAACTCGACTGCAATTTCGGAAAAGTGCACCATCGACACGAACTCGTCAGCGAAAAAGATCAAAAGGGCCAGAGTTATACTTCGTTTTCTTGAGATGAATTTGAGCTAAATCATCAATGTCTAACTCTGGAAAGGGCCAGCTCGTCGTTCACGAAGATGGACCTTTTGGCGCCTTCTCCAGATACAACATCACCCTTCTCGAACCCTCTGAGGTGGAAAAAATGAGAAAGGAGTTCAAATCGGTGGGCAAGATTGGTAAAGCCGATGATCCTTTGGCCAAGAAGATGATTGGAAATGGAGCCGCTCGCCACCAGAACTTCGCCGATGTGCTCAAGCAGCTCGCGCTTGGCAAGCGCGACTTCGATCTCGAGGAAAGGGCGAGTTTTTTTATTTTCAAACAAAAAAAAAGAGATAATTTGATAAAAACTTGATGAAGTTTCGGCTGAACGCTCTCGACGATGGCGAAAACTGCGAGATCACCGAGGGTGATTGGACGATTCGCTTCTCACTGGCTGGTCTTCTGCCGCCGATTGTTTTGCCGAATAATGTCCGAGTTTCCCAGGTTTACTCGCTTCCGTTCTCAAATGAGGCCTTTTGGCTCTCCATTGGGCTCTCCAAGAAAGGTAAAAGTAAAAATTTCACTTTCAAATAATAAATACTTTCCTAGGCGAAGGAATTCCGTTCAAGGCGGTGACTGATAGCGACTCTTTCATCAGCAAGAAGGGGGGAAACTCGCACTCGGTGAAGATCCAAACGGCGCCCTTTGGATCGCTCAAAGTCAATGTTGAATTACTGTAAATAAACTTTACAGTTCGGAGTCCGAACTTGACACGCCACAGAAAAAAATAAGTCTTCATGAGAAACAGCAGCAAATTTCCACGAAAGAGTTCTTTTAGAAGCCATTTTAAAGCGGCAAAGCAAGCGGGCATCGAGGAGTATCGGCAGTGCGCTCTCTCACAGCTCGAGTTGTTGGTACTTACGAGATTGGGTTTATCAGTCCTGAATCTAAGCCGGATCCCGCTCGAGTCCTCGTGTAATCATCCGCCAGGCTGCTTGTTTGTGCTTTCTCGGCGAGTTTCATTTTCGACGCTTCTAAAGAAAACACGCGGCGCAATTCTAGCCCGCATTCTAAACCACGTGCCCAAATTGCATAAAGAAGATTTTATTGCGAATAATTGTCCGGGCAACAACCACTCAGGAATTTTTCCTCGGCCGATAATTTTCCCTGTCGATGAGTTTTACTGTACATAAGTTTTTTCGAAAATAAATCCAATCTGTAAAGCTCCCAAGAAATTACCGAGAATTTCTAATCTATCTTTTTGAAATCAAGGAAGACATTTTTCTAAACAATCTGAACGTTCTGAAATATCCGATAAATTCCGATTTAATCCGTCTAGATAATCCATTAAATTTACGTGGTCGTTTTGACTCCAATTAAATTTACTCAGAAGGTGACTCACTGTTTTTATAGAGTCAGCAGCGAGAGCCAGAGTATTTACAAGTTTTAAAGAGAAATGATCTATTTTCTTTTACTCGTTATGAAGCTGATTTCAGCTGCAAATGCGCGGGTTTTTTTTTTCTTTCTTTTTTTCAAAATTAGGTCGCTCATTTTTATTCGTTAACCCTGAAAAAAAGATATGCAGCCTCGAATTTTCGTGCCCAGCTTTTTGCAAAAGCAGCAAAGGCCCAGCAAAAGTTGCCAGAAACAGGGCGGCGAAATGCAAAAAAGCGGCCGAGGAAGAATTCAAGCGCTGCCTAGAAGAATGCATCTTCGTTGATTGCGTCGATGAATGCCAGAATCAATTTCGGCGTGAACTGGAAACATGTCCCTGCTGGCAAAACGACGAGTCTCGAAATCGCTGTACGGAGAGAACGGTCCTTGATCTCGAGCAATATCGGAAAGGTTCAGAATAAATGGTTTTGTTATAACTTATGGCTAAATATTGGTTTTCTTAACTTAAAAAAAGTATCATGGTCGACGATCTACAGGAGCATGCGAATGGCCTTGAACGCGAAAACCAGAAGTTGAAAGACGAAATTGAAATGCTCAATCAAAAGTCCCAGAATCTCAAAACTGAGAATGAAAGACTTTCTAGCGAGGAAAAACGGTACTTTAATTTATTCGAATTTCTGCGGTGTATTTTTGATTTAGACTGAATACAAGAAATTACAATTTGTGGAAAAAACTTCGAGAAAAAGGTAACTTTGGAGAAAATCTTTCATCGAGTGTCATAAAATCTAGATTCGGAAATAAAGAGGCTTCAAACTGAGAAGGAAAATTTGATCGCTGCCAATGAAGAACTAAGAACATCGAAAACAGCTACAGAGGAAGTGCAGACTGCCTTGGCTGAAATCAAGGAAGATTTAGATGAAACAAAAATGGAGAAAAGCGAGATTCAAGAAGATTTGGACATTGAAAGAATCAGGTAACAAAGAACCCTTGTTTTCTTTTTTTATACACTGGGATACTTAGAAATTCTGATCTTCAAAGCGAAATCGAATATTGCAGAAATGAAATTCAGGAAGAAAAAGAGCAATGCTTAAAGACTACTCAGGTATTTTGATGTTTTTTAATTGAAGCTTATTTTTTATTAAAATTACAAGGCTTTGACAATTGATCTTGAGCGGACTGAAGATGAAAAAGAAGCAATAGAGACGCGAATGTCAAATTATGAAAAAGATTTGGAGAAACTCGAGTTCGAAAATAAAAACTGCTTTGGCCGCGAGAAGAATTCATTGATGGTTCTTTCTGGCTATAGGTCTAAAACTAAGTTTCTTAGCTACGTTCTCAAACCTGACGGAAGCGAGAGTCATCGAAGAATCAAGATCCCTTCGTCAAATAAACAATTCCATTACCTTTACGCTGCAATTTCTGCTTTGATCCGTGGAAAAATCTATATTTTTGGTGCAGGAGGGATCAACGACTCTGGACTTAGGGTAAGAAAGCAAAAAAAAAAAACTAAATCATAGCTTATTCACTTAGATAAGAATGATAAGTGGCTGTGGAATCAAGGAGTTAGATGTCAAACTCAACAATCAATATTACTGGGGCTCTTCTGTAGTTACGGCGGCTGATCAACAATCAGGTAAGAAATTTTTACAATTGAAAGGGCTGCAGTTGTTCATTTATTCTAGCGATGATTTGCTTTCCGGAAGATGAAGAACGAAAAAAATGCGACGAATTTGATGGAAGTGCTGTATCAATAAAACCGGCGACCAAATACTCGCACAAAAATTCTTGTTTGGCGCTCTACAGCGACCAACCAGTTGCAGTCAGCTCTCATCTTTCTGACGGCTACAAGAAAGTGGAGAAATTCGACGGCGCTACTTGGACGGAAATGGAAGATTTTCCAAAGTTAATTGATTTTAATATTTATTATTTGATGATTTGAAGGGCAATTTTGGTTCACTCCTGCATTGGAGTCTTCGACGGATATCTTCTCTTGGGAGGTTCATACCAAGAAAATAATGAATATTACAGTTCAAAAGATGTTTATTTACTTCGCGACTCAAAATGGACCGTGGTTGGCAAACTTAATGAAAAAGTAAGGTCTTTATTAAGGACCCCCCCGTCAACGATTTTCCTCAAAAAATCGAAAATCTCAAAACAGCCATATTTTGGCTTCTGAGTGTGCCTGGAAGTTAAATTTATCATAAAAACTTGCTAGGAGCTCTTCTGGACCAATAAAAATCTAAAATACAGGCAAAATTGGGACTTTTTCGTCGTTTTTCGTCAAAAAGTCCAATTTTCAAAGGCGATTTTGAGGGTGTTAGAGTTGAGATAGACCCCTAAAAAATGAAGCCTCAAAATCGTTTTTTGACCCGTAGAATCCATTTCCGGGGTCAAAATTTTGAAATTCCGAAAATAGATTTTTCGAAAATTGTTGACGGGGGGGTCCTTAAACAAGGCGAAATTAGCTTTAATTTCAGCATTGGTACTCTTCTGCAACGCGAATTGGAAATACGATTTATCTTGTTGGGGGCAGCAAGGAACCGTAAGTTATTTGAAAGAATCAATCAAAAATATTGAACAAAGTTTCGCCGTGGAGAAACTAGAATGGGATGGAGAAGAAATATCCTCGGCAAAAGTCATCAACAACCATTCTGGTGATTTTCCTCGACCGATAATTTTCCCCGTCGATGAATTTTACTGCACATAAGTTTTTTCAGAAATAAATCAAATTAAGTAAAGAACAAATTTCAAGAGATTATCGGAAGTTTCTAATCTTGACTTTTTGTTCTGAAAGTGAAATCAAGGAAGAGAATCCTAAAAATAATCTCACCGTAACGAAACATCCTAGGCATAATTAGCCCAAATATTCTCTGAAAATCACGTGAACTCCGATTTCGTGACCCCGCCCGTTTCGTAAATCGCTTTTCCCGCTAATGCTTTAATTTCTCCAAGCCGCGGTAAACTCATCAAAGAGCACTTGAGTCGGCCCAGCCCGTTCCGCAAAATGCGCCGCTCAGTTCACTTTCGAATTCGCTTCTTCGAATTCAAGGTCACGTGACGCAAAATTACATTCGTTGCATAATTATTTTTAGCGAAAAGTACTCTCGCTGAGGCTAGAAATTCCCCCTCGTGTCTAAAAAGTGATAAGCCTTTCCTTTCGAGGGTTAATAATCATAATTTTCGTTGTGGCTTTTCGTTTTGAGTAGACTCCACTTTATTCCATTATTTTTTCTCGAGACCGCGATTTCTAAAAATCCAGTAACTCGCATTTCTCTTCCGTAAATATTTTAGCGCTGGAATTTCTGAGCTTCTGTCACAATCGCTCTAAGCTAAACCAACTTACAACAGTGCGCAATTTCGAAGCTAACTCGTGTCGCGACATCAAGATTTAACCTGTCGACAAAGCAAAAGCAGATTTGTGGCAAGAAGATAGTCTTTTTGAATGTATAAAATTATGATGGTATTTCTGGACTTTTGAATCAAAAGTTTTGATGATTCAAGATAAAAATGAAGGATTTTTAACAGACATTAACGGACATTTTCCAATGATTATTACATTCAAGGACATTTCGGAGGCTCAACGGATATTTAGGGCTTGAGAAATAAATCCTAGACATTGGAAATGTTTCTCTAAGTTAAGAGACATTCAGGGACATCGAGGGACATTTGAAGAAATGACTGAAGCTAGGGAGTCTTTTGACAGTATCAGTTGACGTTTGGAGACATTACTAAAGATCAATTGACATCCAGAGACATTTGGGAAAAATCAAATGCATTACTGATGTTTTCTGATCAGTCGAACTACATTTTAAGCCATTTCAACTGTCACATTTGAAGATCTACCAGAAATTAGCGGACATTTTGCGACATTTGTCCTTATTTATGGACTTTGAGAGTTAATTCTGTATCTATCCATGTGAATGACATTTAGGGACATTTATTACGGCCCAGAGGATCACAAAAACGGATATTTAATGGACATTTTGAGATGTTTAAGGACATTTCAAGACATCTAGCAACATGAGCTTCGGCAAAAATAGTAAATGAAGGAGGAAGAAGGTGTAATTTTCGAATATTTTGGGTTGAGCTGCGCAAAAACGGACGTGGTCGGCGGGTCATCAACGGGCGGCGAAAAAAGTCAAATAAATTCATTTAGCCGGATTAACCCGCAAAGGGGGGAAATGATTTGATGATGCACGTTCGAGTCACGCTAACTTCCCCAAGACGCTAACTTCCCCAGACGCTGACTTCCCCAGACGCTAACTTGCACAACCTTGGGGAAGTTAGCGTTTTGGGGAAGTTAGCGTCTTGGGCAAGTTAGCGTCTTAAATGCGTGGGCGATCCGATGAGCGTTGAATGGCTCTTTCAGCATGTCTTAGTCTGGTAGACAGTCAGTCGTCTCTTAGAATCTAACCTCGACCTCTCCTCGTGAATAGCGGTCATATTTTCAATTTCTTTTGAGCAAATTTAATTTAACGTTTTGAAATAATATTTTTGTACTCCGGGAGTACACTTATTTTGACAGTCAATGTCAAAATTTCTGAGCTCTTATATTTAAAATAAGATATCTTTGATAATTTAGAAGCGTTATTATTAGAACATTAATCCCAAAAAATGCCTGAATTCTCAAAGCTCTGTCTAAATGACTTAGAAATAATCGCTCCTACGAATACTTTCTGAATACTGTATTCAGTGTTCCGAAAATTGAGGCTACGAAAAATTTCAAGAAAAAAATATTATTTTCTCTAACGGGAAGCTTTGACGCTAACTTCCCCAAGACGCTAACTTCCCCAGACGCTAACTTGCACAACCTTGGGGAAGTTAGCGTTTTGGGGAAGTTAGCGTCTGGGGAAGTTAGCGTCTTGGGCAAGTTAGCGTGACTCTGCACGTTCTCCTGTTTTCCGCCAAAACGTGCGAAAAAATAAATTTAAGATTTAATTAACTAGACATTTAGACATTTGAATTTCTAAAAATTCAAAAAGAAAGAAGACTTTTTCGCTGTTTTTTTTCAATAAAAAAATTGAAATTCAGAAAATTTTTCTTTTCAAATTAAAATTTTAAATATTGACGCTGAGTCACGCTAACTTCCCCAAGACGCTAACTTCCCCAGACGCTGACTTCCCCAGACGCTAACTTCCCCAAGGTTGTGCAAATTAGCGTTTTGGGCAAGTTAGCGTCTTGGGCAAGTTAGCGTCGAAAGTGCGTGGGCGATCCGTGGAGCGTTCAATGGCTCTTTCACTGAATGCTGAGCATGTCTTAGTCTAGTAGACAGTCAGTTCCCTCTTAGAATCTAACCTCGACCTTTCCGTGTGAAAAGCGGTCATATTTTCCATTTCTTTTGAGCAAATTTAGTTTAACGTTTTGAAATAATATTTTTTGTACTCCGAGAGTACACTCATTTTGACAGTCGATTTCAAAATTTCTAAGCTCTTATTATTTAAAATAAAATATTTTTGATTATTTCGAAGCGTTATTATTAGAACATTCATCCCAAAAAATGCCTGAATTCTCAAACCTCTGTCTAAAAAACTTAGAAATAATGGCTCCTGTACTTTCTGAATACTGTATTCAGTGTTCGATATAAAAATTTCGAAAAAAAAAATTATTTTTTATAACCGGCAACTTTGACGCTAACTTCCCCAGACGCTAACTTGCCCAGACGCTAACTTGCACAATGTTGGGGAAGTTAGCGTTTTGGGGAAGTTAGCGTCTGGGGAAGTTAGCGTCTTGGGGAAGTTAGCGTGACCAGGGATGTGCCTTCGCAGTGCGGATTCCGCACTAAACTTCGCAGTGCGAGGTGCGATTACGGAAATTTCGCACTTCGCACCGCACTCAGACCTGATATTTTTCATCGCACCGCACTTCGCACTTTCCGCAAAATTTTTGAAAAGTGCGATTCTTTTCGCAGTCGTATCCCGCACTATTCAACCTTCATCGCACTTCGCACTTTGCGGATTTTGCGGTCCATTTGCAGACAATTTCTGTAAATTTTTGTCTTTTTGGGCCGTCTCAGCCCCGTTCCATGATTTTTAAGTTTAAGGGGCTTGACAAAGGCTTTGAACTCTGAGTTGATCAAGCTCAGTTCTGTCCCCAACCCCACCCACACCCGTCATTTAAAAAATTCAAATCATCATTGTTTAAACCTCAATAATGGTTATGATTGGAAGTTTTTAAAATTATTTCTATTCGGGGCGTGGGAGAAATTTCGGTGATTTTTATTCATTTTTCCTACTCTCTCAAAAAATCGCAATTTTTCGCACTTTTCATTTATTTTCCGCACTTCGCACTTTCGCACTTTCGCACTTCCGCACTTTTCGCACTATCGCAAAAATTTCCGCAATTTGTTTCCACATTTCGCACTTCGCACTCTGCGTCGCACTGCGAAGAAAAATTTGAAAAAATCGCACTTCGCACCGCAGAAAAACCCGCAAAAAAAATCGCACTTCGCACCGCACCGCACTCGAAAAAAAAGCAAAAGGCACATCCCTGAGCGTGACTCATTGACGCTGCCAGCTCAAAATTGGAAATTCTGATAGCTCCGATCAATCAATATTTACATTCGTGAGAGCTTGTCTAAAAACCTTCCCGCAAGAGCAAAAAGCCTGGCATTTCCGCTCTTAACTCTAACTCAACCGACCTGGAACTTCAAATTTGCAAAATGCAAGAAATTATTTTACTCATTTTTCAGGGGAGATTTTTCGCGGTCAACCGAATTTGTGGTCTAACGGATTATCAAGATATTTGACTCTGAAATGCTCTGTTGCCAAAAAATGGTCGAGATAAAAAACGAAATTACTAAGAAAAAAGTTTTGTTTATGAAAATCAGTTCAACACTAGCTGGATAGATTATTATGACGCGGCTAAGCTCTTTCGATCCGCGATTTAGAAAGCCGCTACTTTTCTTGAGTTTTTCTTGCTCCATCCTTGAACCCGTTCGCGCTCGCTTTAGAAAAGTCTTTGGAGGTCTTTGGTCTATCTGATGTTCAATCACCACGTCGAGCTTTTGACGACAAGCAGGGAAAAGAAGAAACCTCGATGCGATGGTGACAAGTTTTGAAGACATTGGGAATTTTAAGAGTTTGTAAGTTCAAATGAATTGAGCGAAGGTTCTCAATTGTCTGTCTTTCGACTCGAAAGTTTCGAGATTTGGCTGGAAGGTTCTTTGAAGTAGCGCTTCGAGATTCGCTGATGAGTCAGAAAAGGGAAAACTGGAGCACTACAGCTTCGATTTTTGCAGGTTGACTCTCATTTCTTCTTCGAGAAATTTTGTAGAGACATCATCAAGCCTATGTTCTTTCTGTACTTGACTTGCTCTCAGTTGAGGAGTGTTTTAGTAAGATTCTATTTTTTAAAATTAAGACGATGGAGCATTTTTTTCATGGATGCAGCTACTACTTGCCTTCCACTGGAGAGCAAGTGGCTGGGATCGATTTGAGTCAATTCGATGATCTCAACATTTCTGACTCAGAGACTACTGAGACTGAAGAGGTTGAGAAGAAGGAGACCGAATCTGCTCCCAAGAATGCCCACCCCAAGTTGGAGAAGATGAGGAAGGAGTTGGGCGCTATCGGAGGCGCTGGACACTTCTTTGAGGACGATCGGGAGGTCTGGAAAGGTGGAGTAAGAGATGGGGTGAATGCGATGAAAATCCGCAAGGTTCTGAAGCTCTTTTCGCTTGGCGAGCGAAAGGTCAATCTCAAGGAATGGGAGTTTTGGACCAGAATTTTTTGATATTAAAATCGGTAAAAACTCCGACAGTTCAATTGCCATGTTGACTTCGAAGTTGATCATGCTGGATGGAAGCTCCAGTTCAAGAATGCTATCCCACAGGAAGGAGGCGATGGGAACTATTATCTTTGGCTCTCCAACAAAGGTAAAATCTAAATTCCTTTATTTCAGTTTGATAAATTTTTACTTCAGATGGAGGCGTTCCCTTCAAGGCGGTGGTGGAGCAGCTCGACTGCAACGTCGGAAAAGTGCACCATCGACACGAACTTGTCAGCGAGAAGGATGAAAAGGCCCAGAGTTAGACATTCTTGGCGAGCTAAATTTTAGCTGAATAATTAATTTCTAACTCTGAAAAGGGCGAACTCGTCAAGCACGAAGATGGACCCTTGGGCGCCTTCATCCGATACAACATCACTCTTCTCGAGCCCTCTGAGCTCGAAGAAATGAGAAAGGAGTTCAAATCGGTGGGCACGATTGGAGAAGCCGGGCAGCAGCTGCGAAAGAACTTGGTTGGATACGGAGCCGCTCGGCACCAGAACTTCACCAATGTGCTCAAGCAGCTCGGCCTTGGCAAGCGCAACTTCGATCTCGAGGTAAGACGTTGAATATTTCCGGAAATTAAATTGAAATAAAGTTCCGGGTGGGCGTTCTCGACGATGGAGAAAACTGCGAGATCACCGAGGGCGATTGGAAGCTTCGCTTCTCGCTTGGTGGACTTTTGCCGCCGATTGTGAGGGCGCACAATGTCCGAATTTCCCACGAGCAGACCTTCTGGCTCTCTTTTGGGCTCTCTAAGAAAGGTAAAACGAATATTTTTAATTTCAAATTCAAAAATATTATCTAGGCGAAGGAGTTCCGTTCAAAGCGGTGGCTGATGGCGTCTTTTTCTTCAGCAAGAAGGAGGGAAACTCGCATTGCGTGAAGATACGAACGGTGCCCTTTGGATCGCTCCGAGTCATTGTTGAATTACTGTAAATAAACTTTACAGTTCGGAATTCGAAGTCCGAACTTGACTCGTAAAAAAGGTTGTTTTGAAAGCATTTTCGAAAAGCAAAAATTTCCGCGAAAGAGTTCTTTTAGAAGCCATTTAAAAGCACCAGAGCGACCGGGCATCGAGGAGTATCGGCAGTGCGCTCTCTCACAGCTCGAGTTGTTGGTACTTACGAGATTGGGTTTATCAGTCCTGAATCTAAGCCGGATCTCGCTCGAGTCCTCGTGTAATCATCCGCCAGGCTGCTTGTTTGTGCTTTCTCGGCGAGTTTCATTTTCGACGCTTCTAAAGAAAACACGCGGCGCAATTCTAGACCGCATTCTAAACCACGTGCCCAAATTGCATAAAGAAGATTTTATTGCGAATAATTGTCCGGGCAACTATTTGCCGGCGAATTCAACTGTCGCGAAAATAATCGTAATTTGCAAAAGCAAAGAAAGCCAATTAGAAGGACCAAAATCAACATTTTTATGACGGCAGCGGATTTTTTATTCGATCATTTTCAAATTGCAAGACTTCTCAAAAACGAAAAAATAAAATTCAAAATTTCCATATCTTCTCGTGCTCCACTTATTGCGTTAAACCAAAGCATGAAAAACGAGCGCGTAAAGGTGTCTTATGGTTACGCCACGCCACCCCGCTGGGTGATAACAGCACAATGATAAGAGACAGTCTCTCTTTTCTTCTGTCACCTAAAGCGCGTCTTATCGCCTTCTGCCAAACCTTCCTTATTCAAAATTCCAGAACTCAGCCGTTTCTTTATGAATTTTTAGATGATAAAAAGAGGATGACTAGAAAAGTATTCTAGAGCTCCAAAAAAAAAGGTTCAAAACCTGCTTTTTTCCAAAGAAAAGACCGTTTTTTCATTCAAACAAGAAGAAAGACAAGCTTTATTTTTAACTCTTAAATACTCTTTATACAGTCACTTTTATACAGTAAAAATCGGCGAAGTTCAGATTTTTGAAAACAAGGAAGAAGGTGGAATTATGTACAAAGGAATGGTCATTTTTAAACAGAAGAAAGGCGGTTTAGATTCCTAATCTTGCTCGGAAAGGGGCGAAAATAGAACTCTTCGCTTCGTTTCTCTTGAATTCTCGCTTCGGGGGATGCCCGCAGGCCTTTTTTCTGTACTCATCTGATAGTCCACCGTGGATGAGGGCCAAATGCCTCGTGTCGAGTTTTTCCAAGTCTTCGGCCTTCGCCTCGGGGAGGGAATCCGGCTGCCCGAGGGTGTTGACTCTGTAAGTTTCAGATAAGCCGCCGGAAATGAGCTGGTGAAGATCGCCTCGGGGCTGTTCCTGGAGAGGCTCGGCGCCGCAAATTCTCTCGCGGTAGGAGCTGGAATAGCCGCCGGCAATCAACTTCAGTTGATCCAGATTTTTGGGTTGATTACTCAGTTGTTGATTACTCGAACTACTCGAGGAGGAGTCGAGGTTAAGGTGCTCTACTCGGTAGGTCTCGGAGAAGGCGCCGTTGACGAGCTGGATGAGATGAAGAGATTCCATGATGAGAAAGGGTGGTTGCTTTTTTGGGAGCTGGTTTGCTTTTTTTAGTTTTTGGTAAGTGAGCGGTTGGAGAGCTGCCGCGGCTCTTTTATACCCTCGCCTGGGGAAAAACCAGGCCTCGCCCGAGGGGATTTTCCCAGAGCGCGAGCTAGTAGGGCTTACAGTAAGAAAGGGGATTGTAAGACTCTTGTTTTTCTGGATGCGAAAAGTTTTCCGCTCGTAAGCGTGGTACTGTACGTTAAAATGACTGTAGCGCAGTGGCTTATCAGCTGTTATCGCGCTAGAGTTGAGAATGAGGACGGAAAAGTACTGAGCTTCTTGATCTCGAGTTGTGGAAGGTCTGCGGAAAAGTTCATTGGCGCTACAGTCAAGAATAAGTTGTCGATGAAAGAAATTATGCAAGGATCATGTGATCTGAAAAGAAAAAGTTTGAGAATAGCTTTGATTCGAGCGATCGGTTTTCTTATCGGTAAGAGTCGGCCCTTGAAGAATTCCAATTTTAGACGCGAGTTTGGTAATTCCAATTCTAGTGCTCGACACTTTTCAGGTTCAATCAGACACCGGAAGATCAAACCAGCCACTGCTCTTGAATTTGCCGATTTCCCGCGGAATTGATACAGTAAGAAAACACAGAAGCAGGCTATCAGTCATTTCTTGAGGAATTTGCTGTTTTTGGTCAAATGGAAAAACCCTAGAAAAAATTCACGTGACAGGGTGAATAATTCTCACATTCTTCAGCAGGCTTATCAGCAACTGTACAGTAGGTACTGTCAGAGGTCAGGAGATAGCAATAATTGAGGTGTCGCTGGGGATTTTTCCACGATGTCGCAAGCGAGAAATAAATCAAAAGCGGGGCTTTTTTCGAAGATTTTGAAGATTTTGAAATGAAAAGGAATTTTTTAAATGTCGAAAATAAACGTTGAAAAAACACGTTTTTGGGAGATAAGTTCTTGTAAGAGGCACTTCTCGAGTCGAAGATAAATCTGAGTTGATATGCTTTCACCAGTGGTGATTTGGGCACATTCAGAGCCAATTCCAGATAGCCAGGCAACGTGCATGTTCCGAATTCATCCAAAATTCATGCTGTTGAATTAAAAACGTTCATTTTGGCGAATTGTAACGAGCTTATGAGTCCTTTTCCGAGTATGGAAGAAACATGAATATTTGATTGAAATAAAATTTCAGAGACCAATTTTCAGACAATTATGAAATTTTATCGTAAACGAATTTGACTGTCGGAAAAGTAAGACAACTTAATTTTTGTTTAGATATATTATTACGGATTTTCAAAAGAATTATTCGCGCCAATAAGTTGTTGTTGTCCTTGTAGTAGATGTAATAAGTGACATAGATACATGTCCAGTCGTTGTGGTTGTTTCGGTTGTTGTACTCTTCCAAGTTGATGTCGTTGCCTAATTTCATGTCAGATGGCTTATCTTAAATGTAAATGGGACCTCTTTCTCCATGCATGGACAGTTGAGAGCTTCTACCCTGTAGCTTGAATAGCACCGATCCATGCAATCAATGTCCGCTGGACAACTTTTAATGCATGTTGTCTAATTTAATATAGGTTTCATAAGCAACAAACATTATTTTTACCAGATAATCCAAATCATAAATGATACAGCGTTTATAATCATCGTTGGAGATCTCGGGCTCAAAGCAAACGTCGCAGAGTGGATGTTCACAACCTTCGCAGCCAGCAGGGCAATCAAGGCCACAAGGACAAGATGCATCGCAAGCTTACTTTTATAGAAAAAATATTATCAAAAATCAAGTCAACCTGAAAAATCAGCTCTGCATTGACTTTGACACAGAGAATCACCTCCGCAAGCAGCGTTGCATTCTACGTATTTGACCCGACATTCGGTGAGGCATTGATCATGAATCTCTTCATCACTAGAATGCTTCAGTCATTGAAAGTAACAATTGAACTGTATCGAACGGGCAAGCTCTCTCATCAGCGGGTCGGAGGCCAAACAGTATAGAACCCCATCCTCCAAGAGCAAGATTCTCATTTTGCTTTTGATGATAAAGTCGACAAGAAACTCCTCCGAAAAAATGAAGTGAAAGTATCAATCGCATGTTTATTGCAAATGAACTCGCTTTCGTGAGACCATCTTGCTCTGGGAAGATTTAATAAGCTTTCGATCTTTACTTTTCATATCCAAATGCACATAGAATATCATTTGCTTTGAAAATCGAGGAATGATTGAAATCGAGGGCGTTTAATTTTGGTTAAAAAGTGATAAGAGCACAAAAAAAGTAACTGTATACTAGAACGATTATTATATAACCTAAAAACGGCTCTATCTACAATTCAAACACTCTAAAAATAGCCGCCACTCTAAAATTGCTCTTACGGCTCCCGTTTGGACATAAAATTTCAGGCAGTGTTTTTTTGAAACCTCGGAGCGGATTTTGAATCATTGCGGCGCAATATCGACGTCGCCAAAAGTCGGATTTAGGCCGCGCGTTAGAAATCGCTCGCTGCTCCAAAGAAGGTGCGATATTCGCCAGCTGAGCCACGACTTGTGTATTTTTCAAGTAACAAAACAGAAAGAAAGCGAACGCAGATTTTTGCTTATCAACCCAGCGCGTGTATAAGTACAGGGATTGTCACAAGTTACGAGAACGCTTCTAATTTCCGCTGTTTTCAGTAAAACCTCGATTTTCACAGATTTCTTGGAAAGAAAAATGGTCAATTTTGCTCAAGAAACGAGCCGTTTTTTTCGCGATAAAAAAGAAGCTATCTGAAACCTAGGCTAAATCAAATGTCAATCTTTTGGCGAAAATGGAAAGTTCCAAAATCCGCGCGCTGTCGGAACACTTCCGAAGACAAGCACTAGATTAAACTTTTTTTATCAATAATCATGTATCACCGCCACCGCTTGGCAAAATAAACTCAAGAAGAAAAAAGCCATTTTTCTATCGAGAGATGAGATAATTTTCTAATCGCCAAATGTTTGCTTGAATTCAGAATTTGATGAGCTGGAGAAATTTCTTCATTTTGAATTTCAGTTTATTACAGTCAGAGTAAAATACAAACTTTTGTTTCTTGTCTGACGACGACTTGGTTTGCTGGGGATTGATGATAGACAACTGGGGCTGGTTTTTGGACAATTACAGCCAGCTCTGACTATTACTGGCGGAGGAGATTGAACAATAACAGGTGGTGGTGGTGGTGTTTGGACAACGACAGTTGATGGCGGCTGGATCATGGCGTGCGATGGGGCAACGACAGCTTGAGTATAGGACTGAAAAAAGTGTGATTTTGTTGATTTGATAATTGATAAGATTGCAAAATTTGGAGATAACAGTTTGCTACAGTCAAAATTGCTGTAACCAGGATTCGAACCTGGGTTGTCACGGCCACAACGTGAAGTACTAACCACTATACGATTACAGCTTGGTATTCTTTCTTACTGACGACGAAATTAAATATAAAAACATCGATCCAAAAATTTTGATATAAATTGGTTGCTTTTGAATCTACTTACTGGTGGGCCGTAATAGCTCATTTTCTCTTCCTCTTCAAAGTACTTTCCCATTCGCTTACAGTTGCTTCCTGTATTGACAGAATTCGTATTTGTAAAGGATTTCGATACCCCTTCGATTGTTGTTGAAACAGATCAAATAAGCAGTCGAGTTTTATTATAATTTGTCAAAGAAAGAGGGAAGCACCGATAAGTCCTCCTACAAGTCCTCCAGCGAAAGCTCGATCCTGTTGTGGATTTGATCGCTGAACTGGTGGAGGGGCTGTTTGATAGAGGACTTGAGGCGGAGGAGCTTGTTTGATGATGACTTGTTGAGGTGGCGGAGGATGGTGGATGATTGTTGGGCCCGATTGGACGATCACTTGTTGGGAGGAAGATGGACGACATGGGCAACAGGAGGAGCGGAAGAAGAGTTGTAGTGGACTTGGCGGACACCAGCCTGGTTGGAAGATGGATATCCAGGATAGCTCATGTTTCTTTTCTGAAAGAGTTTTTCGTTCAATGAGAAGATGATTGAATTGGCTGTTGGGAGACAGAACAAATAAGAGTCTTTCCTACAGTAGGGAAAAGCAGCAATTTATTTAGCAAGTCTTCGTCCAATAAGAGCTCCAGCCAGGGCGTTGCCATTTCTAGCGCCAATTAGCGCTCCAACTGCGGCTCCACGATTGACTCGGCGAGCTTGACTCTGTTGAGCTTGGTAGGCAGCTTGGCTGGGATGCTGCTGGGTTACGTACTGAACCTGCTGGGCTAAAAGGGGGTTGGGAAAGAGATGGAAGTGATTATTTTAATACGTTGTTGTTGATACACGACAGTCGCTGGTTGCTGCTGAACGTATTGAACAGGTTGTCCGACAGGTGGACCGGCAGGACGCCCGACAGGAGGTCCTTGTTGGTAGACAACTTGTTGGGGATATCCTTGTTGCACGTACACGGTTCCTGAGAGCAGGGATTTTACCTTTCTCCTACCCTTAATTCGACCCCCCAAAAGGTTGTTTGAACCCTCTTTCCTGGTTGCTGAACGTAATGATATTGAGTTCGATTACTCATTTTTCTCTAACTATAAATGAAAAAGTCAATTTTTGGCTCGAAAAGTCCCAAGACTACTGTAAATAAAAAAATTTCTGTTTGCATTTTTGATTGTTTTCGCGACGAAAGAATCACAAGAAACCGAGCTTTTCGACGAAAAATTGAAGCGATTGCAAATTATCCTTGTATGGCTTATCTCGTAATTAGATAAATTCAGCACTAGAATCGGTGTAAAATCGAAATTTTAACCCTGTAGCGCGTTCTGCGTAATTCCGTAGCTAGTGAAAATAATCGCCAGAAAAAAAGACTCAAAAGTCTGAAATTATGCAATTCTGCGTCTTTTTGTCCCAAAAAGTGACATTTTGACAAAATGGGTTAAGAAAGTATCGTTAATTCGTTTCGAACAAGTTGTTTTATTTTTTGTCATTTCTTTGGAATAAATCAAGTCAAATATTTCACTCGTCTTACAAGCCTCAAGTACAGTATACAAAATGTTCGTTTTTCTCCTTTTTCCAGCTTCTTTGTTTTTGTTGAACACGCTTTTTCACGCCAATTAGCGCCATAATTATTTGGAACATGGTGTCTCAATAAATATACGAGTCGTCATTGTTAGGATCGAACAGCGAGTACTTCTCGTCGTACAAGTCGCCCAGTGTCGTGCAAACGATGCATTGATGGTTTGAACTCGCTTCTTCGTTGATGTACGTTTTCCAGAGCCAAACATCTGCGCGGACTACAAAGAAAATAGGGTTAACTCTTTTAGGAAAAAGAGGTACTTTTTTTCGAGCCAAAAACCAATTTTTGGATTTCTTGAATCAAAAATTAACCCATCGTTTTAAGAAAATGACCAATTTTTTGACGGGAAAGCGCGAACAGGTTAAAAATTAAAATGCTTTAATTTTCTCCCTATTCCCGTCAAAAAAAATGGTCATTTTCTTATAACAGTGGGTTAATTTTTGATTCAGAAAATCCAAAACTTTATTTTTGGCTCGAAAAAAGGGCTTCTCTATTTTTTTTCTTTTGATAAAAAATCTGCATCTCTTAGCAAATAAAATAGTTCCCGCGGCTGGCCACAAAAATTCCGGCTAATTCTTGGCCGAAAAAATGAAATTGGCTTTAGATTAATCCCGCTTGCTTATTTGGATGTAATTCCATTTAAATTATTCTTGTTCTTTTTTCTACCTTCCGAAACCAAAGTGGCGAGTTTCTTCCGAATCTGCGGCTTCACATCTTCGTGGTATTTGTGTCCGTCTCGTAGTTCAACCGCCAAGCTAGAAAAAATGTTCAAAAGGGATGATTTTTTGGAGAAAAATGGGACTTAGGGCCACGTACTTGCGTGACCCGCCAAACAAACGATGACCACGTGATTCCAACGCTACTTTTTTCTGCCCAAAAAGGATCTCTTTCTACACGCTTCCGGTCTTATTGCTTCCGGTAGCGACTAGCGAGCGACCTGCTTTTAGAAAAGAATGGCTGGATTTGTGTACCTGTTTAGTTTATACATTCCAGATTTGCATTCCTTGTGGAGAAACATTCCATACGCGTCGTGGATGAAAGCCGCCGCGCGTTGTACTTCGGAGCCCTTGTTCATCAGCTTCAGCGATTCTTCCATCGATAATCGGTCTAAAGGATTAATTGAAATTGGCAAAAGAACAGTAAAAAATCAGTTACAAAGCACAATCATGGTAGAAACTCTGTCGAAAGCCTGAGTCAGGTTTCTGAGATTTCAAATGAAAAGCCGCGTAGCGGCTTTTTTAAAAACGAAGCCGCGAAGCGGCTTCGCAACATTATCATTTGAATACGAATTCTTTAATACTGGCGAAGCCGCTTCGCGGCTTCGTTTTTTAAAAAGCCGCTACGCGGCTTTTCATTTGACTTTTTCAAAATCCGATACAGGCTAAATCAGCATGGTGGCCTCAGAATTATGAGATGAAAAGAAGGTTATCTTAATTTCGGCTATCTTTTTTCAAAATTTATCGTTGAAGAATCTTTATCAAAGGAAAGAAAAATTGTTGAGATGATTCTTTTTTTTTCATTACTTCGTTCGAAACGGTTGTTCTTGGGATTGTCTTGAGAATGTTTAGCAGCGGGTGGGAACACGCTTGGTGAACACTGTCACTTAGTTTAGAAGAACCTCCCCTCGGTCGCGGCTCTAATTGTACCTCACAAAATTGACGACTACAAATAAAGTACTATCCCAAGCGCGACTTTAGAGCACCGCGCTTCTTCTTCTCCTATTTCACACGAAAATCGAAATAACAAAAATTTTTTAATCCGCCATTTTCTCATTTTTCTTTCTTACCTCTAAGTCTTTGGTTTTCCATTTCTAGCAGGTCAATTCTTCGTTGTTGTTCGGGAGCATCGATGATTTTCTCGACTTCTTTTTTCATTCTTTTTAAATAATTCTTGATTTTTTTGAATTTTTCCATCTTTTTCAACCCTTTTCTGAATCTTTCTCTTTTTCAACTGAAAATTTCAACGACGATTTTTTACTTTTATGCGCCTCCGGGTCCCCCACCGAGCAGAACTCGTCCCCCGCCGAGCGTTGCGGATGGTTATCAACAAAAAGAAGGGGAAGAACTAAAAAGCAGCTGTCCTCAAAAAAGCTGTTTGGTCGATTCTCATGATGGCCTATTTTTTGAGCTTTGGAAGGAGAAGTTCAAAGCCGGCAATTAAAAAATTTCAAGCAAAATTATGACTGCATATTTTGGAAATGATAAGCAGGATTTTGAACGGCGGCACGATACGTTTTCTTATCAGCAGGTCGATTAGTTTTTATTGCGCGAACGTCTGCGTATTTACGATTCGCGGACTTCCACCATTTCGAAAAAAATCGAAGAACTCTGTAAATCGTGAAAACTCATGAAAAAAATGCTCCGTGTCGGGGAATCGAACCCCGGTCGCCCGCGTGACAGGCGGGAATACTCACCACTATACTAACACGGATGATTCTTAAAGCTGCTTATCACCTCAACTTTCTTATAAACTGATAAGAATTGGTATAGATAGGCAAGTAGCGAGCCTAGGTACCATCCGTGTTAGTATAGTGGTGAGTATTCCCGCCTGTCACGCGGGCGACCGGGGTTCGATTCCCCGACACGGAGCGTTTTTTTTTCATGAGTTTTCACGATCTACAAAACAATGAAAAGAAACATGAATGTTAAAATTGGAGAAAGAAATGGACAAGGGGAAACAGCTTGAGCGGTCGTTGGTTGATGGATTTAGCGGTTCCTGCTCGTTGAAATTCGAGCAAAAGTCACTTTTTTGAATGCGGTTTCGCCAAGACGGCCCAAGATTGATCCGAATTCAAAGATTCTAGCTGGAATCATCCCTTCTTCTTAGATGTTTTCAAGTTTAGTATCTAAAACAAGCGTCACACGAAAAAACGGTTGTCTGTTTTGACCTCTTCGGAATGAGAAAAATATACAAACTCGGCGAAAAAAGAGCGCTTTGATACTCGCCGCGAATAGAACACTCGGCGGCTAATTTAAACTCTTGACCGAGTCAAGCGCCCTTTCTCTGGGAAACATGCGCTTTTCTAGAGCTAGCAATGTGTTATGTACTTAAAAGCTTTTACAGGTTTATGTAAATTTGGCGGCAGCGCCGAAGTCAGTTTTGAATTTTCAAATGACTTTTCGCCGAGTCCAAAACGTTGTTTCTCAATTAGCAGGACAGTCCTGCAGGACTTGTTGGCTCGGCAACCTGTTTAGATAACCTGAGTCAGGATTTAGAAAACTTATAATGAAAAGCCGCTTAGCGGCTTTTTTTTATAAACGAAGCCGCGAAGCGGCTTCGCCCCGATACAACATAAGATTTAGAGATTACTTGTGCGAAGCCGCTGCGCGGCTTCGATTAAAAAGAGCCGCTACGCGGCTGTTTATTGGAGGTTTTTCTGAAAAAAGTTGATCCAAGTCTTTTCCCCAAGATTTTTTAAAAATCTACATATGCTTCAAAGAACACCATGTTTTTTCTTCCTTGCGGATTTCTGAATTGCTGAATAATGCGCGTTTTCAAGTGCGGACCCAGGAAAAAAAAGGAGGACCGTCGTGTCGGGCTAATACCCGAAAGAGAGAGGCGGGGTAAATATGCGCCAGAACCGGACGACTTTTTCCGTAACTGGAATGTTTCCTGAATATGAAAAAGGTTCAACTAAAAGGCGCCTCGTTTGACCCTACCTCCAACATTTGACTAAAATATCCCTTCTTTTTCTTTCCCAATTTATGAGGCGAAAGATTGCCTATCACTTTTCCTGATCGTTTCTAGCGCTGCCAAAATTAAATTATCAGATGATATCGTTAAAGTGGTTTTTCATAACTCTGCCGCCGCTTCCGCCGCCCGCCTCAACTTCACAAACACGCCACTTGTAAGTTTTAAATTTATCTTTTTCTGAAACCAAAACTTCCCGTTTTTAGACGCAGCTTGGCTACTTGAGTACTCGAGTGTTTCTTTTTGATTCGCGAAAACAGCACCTGGAGCTGGAATAATTGCTATTTTTCGATGTGAAAAAGAATTGAAATTCCAGTGAACCTTGGATTCTTACTCTTAGATTAAGAATTCTGCGGAACTGGAGTACAAGAGCCATGATATAAAAATGCATTGGACAAGGCAGGTGCGCCTTTCTGAGCCCTGCTGACATCACTTTGATGACCTGCTTCGCGCGACGACGGTTTTGATAAAATTCTAGTTGATAACCTCAAAACTGACCTTGGAACACCTCACTTACACATTTCTAGTAGCTTGGGTTTCCTTTTTTGGTAAATCACGTTCTTTTATTGATGGTCAACGCTCAAGAATTTTATGGAAAGCAAAACTCTTCACATGTATTTGAACACGCGTCTGGGAGAGCTTCAAAAATAATAGGTAGATAACACATCTTATCAACTGTGTTTATGATTCGAGATGATGTTGCATATGTTCCATTCCATTCGACTCGCTCTACTTCAAGTTCACCGCTTATTAAAATTAGTCTTGTGTATTCACGTTTAATTTTACCTAAAATCGGCGTTAGGTTTCCAGCCTCCGAAATGAATAAAGAAGGTATCGTAAAAAATAATAGAACCCAATCCAATCGGCTACAGTCCTGTTAGTCTGTGCAACAGGGTACTCGCGTTTACCTCCTTTAAATTTCCTGCAAATCTCCAACTATCACTCTTATAAAGATAAATATCAGTAATCAATGAGCTTGAGTAGCCACCAACAGTAATAATTCCATTCTCAATTGAAAGACATGCCATGCATCTAAATTTCAAAGGATGGTCTTGAATCGTCCTCCAACCGCTCAGACTAAGTTTTTCTACTTTTGATAATAACGGGTCCTCATCACCAGTAGGATTTCCTCCACAAATTGAGACAGGAGAGTTTTCATACAAAGCAAGGCACCCGCATCTGTGAGCATATTGTTGAACATGAGGATGATTGGTAACAGCGTTGCCATCGAATTCTTGGCAATTTTTGAAATTGTTGTCATAGCCACAGAGTTAAACTTCATTTGGTGATGTTGGAACTGTGACAATCGTCGAATATGGATTCACGTAGTTACAGTGATAACCCATTTTAAGGCCCACCATTTTAAGGCCACTTTTTTTAAAAATTGCCAAAATTGGTCATCCTGGAAAAATCCATTATAACTTATAATTTATAAGGCCACTTTTGATCATCTTTTAAAATTCTAAAATTACAGTTCAGCGACCATACCCTAACCCTGAACTTTCGCCGCTGAAATTAAGGTTTTTTTAACCGCCATCAGGATTAAATTGAGTCTGGAATCATCTGAGCCATATTTGGTCCTCGATTGATTCGAGAATCTAGCGTGACAACTGAACGTTCTTGTAAAATCTTTAAAGTGAAGCCGATCTTAACAGAATCTTAATTGAAATTTTTGTTCTTCTGTAGAGAGGCAGTTGGAACTTCCTCAACTTGAGAGAGCGAAATTCAGTCAATGATTTGTCTTTGACCGAAGAGGTTCTCACTTATCAGAGTTTAAATTAAACTTAAATTTGTACTCTTTCCAGAACACCAAAAGCCAATTGGCATTTATTTCAAATACAGTTGAAACTTTTGATAAAGTGATCAAAGCTGATCTCCCGATGAAAAATCTTTATATGTTTTTCTTAGTTCCTAATACCTTTTCTGCACGAAATTAGCAAGCAAGAGACGACAATTTTCGGCAAATGCCTGTTTTATGCGCAGAAAAAAAAAGAAAAAATAATCATTGTCATCCGGCTCAACATGAAAAATGTCCATTTTAAGGCCACTTTTGAAATTTGCTGTCATCCAAAAATCGGCCTTAAAATGGGTTTTCACTGTATTTAATAGTCGAACAGATAATTCAACAATAGAACAACCCTCTAATTTAGCAATCTTGAAATCGTTAGCTTTTTTTTTCTAGTAGTAAGTAAGTACCTTCCGCTTATCATCATCACCACCAAAAAGATACATTTCTCCATTCAACATTGCAGATCCGACGCGATCATAAAAGGTTTGTATTTTAGGTTCTGGTGTAAAAATATGCCGATTTTCATAAAATTGACCATTTGCAGAAATAACATAATTGTAAGACTTCGAAACTTGTGCACAAATTGCAGCGATAAAAGGCTCGCAGGTATATCCAGTATCAGTGATACTGTATCACACGGACATCCGCTTGAACAATCTTCCATACAAGGACATCAAAAATCAGAGGCTCAAAACCTTGTTCTTTTTTTTTAAATTGAGTCTTATCTAAAAGCCCTTCCTTGCTGATTCCTTCTTGAAACGCTCATAACACTCATCAAAGCATTGATTTTGAGCAACACAGATTTCTAAACAATCTCTAAGCTCAGTGGCGGCTTCATGAATGCATTGTTTGTAAGATGGATTGTCAATCTCAGGATTCTTGCAAGAGCAAAGCGGATGAGAGCAATTATCGCATCCATCAGGACAATCATGAAAACAAGGACAACCATCAGAGCATACTATTAGAATTTATATATGACTAGTTGTAAGCAGATTAAGTACTTGAATAGTCTCTCAAGCATTCATTTTCGCAAAATGAGTCAGAGCATCCTTCTCGACAAGCCACAAAAATGAGACGGCAATCGGCATCACAAGCATTTCCTAGATCCTGGTCACTATAAAAATCAGCTCTCTGAGAATCAATTGTATTCTCTTACGGGCAGCTCTTGATATCAATACTCGTTTCTAGTGCAGTAAAAGCGCTAGAAATGGCAATCAAAAATATCTCTCGAAGGATCATTCTGGCAGCTCCAAACGGTTCTTTCCTCAGACCAGCAACCAGTGATATTTACAAAGAAATGATTTTCACTGCGTTTTATTATTGACAGAAAATCATAAAAATCGATTCTGCGGTTCAAAAAGATCGGAAGAAAAGTTCTAAACGTGTCTTTTCGAG